GTTCTTCGGTTTCTCCAAAAATGATGACATCGTCTATATAGACGTAGCAGCGCTTTCCTATGTGTTGCTTTAGCACGTCGTCTATCATTCGCTGGAATATGGCCGGTGCATTCCTCAAGCCAAAGGGTAGTCGAGTAAACTCGTACTTCCCATTCATAGTGGAGAATGCTGTTTTGGGTATATCTTTTTCCGACATTTTGATTTGGTGGAACCCGGATGTGAGGTCAATAGTTGTAAAAAACCTAGCTTTTCCCAAACTTGAAAGCGTGTTGGTGATGTCGGGAATCGGGTACGTGTCTGGAATGGTTACAGCATTTAATCTTTTGAAGTCGATCACCATTCGGTATTTCTTAGTTCCTGAGGCATCTGGTTTCTTGGAAACTATCCAAATTGGAGAGTTGTAAGGACTCTTTGATGGTCGGATGATACCATCTTTTAGTAAATTCCCTATTTGCTCTTCGACCTCTCCTCTCATGTTGCTGGGATACGGGTATTGTTTGGTGTAAATTGGTTCTTCATTCGATGTTTTGATCTCTGCCCTTACTTCCGTGTCTATAATTTCGCTATCATTAATTGGCCCAAAAATCTTGCTATACTTGCTGATAATTTCTGAGATTCGTCCCTTTAGTTCTTCAGACAAATGGTCTGCCTTGATTTCAATGTTATTGACTTGAACTGATGTTTTTTCCTTAAGAGGTATAGTAATACCAGGTTTTATCGTAATTAGGTTGTTCTTTCTGTCTATGACGGCTTCCAAGGCTTTCAATGTATCGTCGCCCAAAATACCGTCGAACGATTTTAATCCTGGCAGGACGAAAAATTCCAAGGTACTATTATTACCGATGCATTTGAAGAATTTGGCGTTCATTTTTTCTGTAATTTGAACATCACCTCCCGCAGAACGAATTTTAAATGGTTTGTTGGTTGGTTTTGTGTCGACAGCAAGCTCGGGTCTGATGAAGTTTTTATTGGCTCCCGTATCAACTAGGAACTTTAGGATATCATTGTTCCTGGTATGGTACTCTAGGTAAGGAACGCTAGAGAGGCTCCGCTCGTAAAATTTATCTCTTGCGGATCATCTTCTTTTTCTTCATCAAATTCATATTCCTGATATTCATCTACTTCTGGTGTTTCTTGATTAGAATCGTCATTTTCTTCCTGCTCCAGGTTGAATAGCCGTTGCTTGGATTCAGGCTCGTTGTTTCTTGGCCGGTTTATATAGTTGACTCTCTTGCTATGTAGCGATGGATCAACATCCATCGGTGTAGGTGGTTTCGGATATGTTGGTCTTGGAGGTGCGTAGCGATTATTTTGTTGGTAATTTTGTTGTTGGGGTTGGTTACCACCTATTGGGTGACGTTGTGGGAAACTTTGCTGATACGGATTACGTAAACCATCTTGGTATGGTCTGAACGGCATAGGGATTCTTGGTTTGCTGCTTATGTTATTGATAGGTACCGAAACTCGATTATTGTTATTTTTTTGGTGCACTGTTATGTTCCTAAGATTTAAATTCTGCATCTCCAGGCAAAACGCATACGCCTCTGGCAGTGTTTGAGGCCTCTGAATCATTAACATTTTTGCTAATTCACCATTTAAACCTCGTATAAAGACGTCCAATGTTTTATTTCTGTATGTCTCGACAAGCACAGCAATTGTTTCAGCATTGTAGGTTTCCGTTTTTAATTTATTCACGATGAGTGAAAATTGATGATTGACGGTAGCGTAAAATGAATCTATGCTAGAGTTGCCTTGTTTAAGCATGAACAGTTGGTGCTCGAGGGTACGCACATCTCTTTTATCGGCGTAATGCATCGACAAGCATTCCTTGATTGTTAACCAGTCTTCGTCATAGATGTTATACGATATCAAGGCCAGATCAGCCTTGCCTCTGATTTTCTGCCTGATGCTTTGTAAAATAGTCCGGTATATGGGTCTTTCTTTAACGATTTCATAATCTTTTAGTATGCTTTCTACGGCGTGCACCCAAGAGACATATTGTACTGGATCACCATCGAAATATTGGAGCTCCTTCACTCTGTCTGGGAGTCTGCTTATTTCTTTGAGTTCGTCAACGGTTTTTGGCGTTGCTAGAATTTGTTGGCTTTGTGTTTGATTACCACTAGATCCAGAAAATTCTAAATGTTGAATCCGTTGCTCCAGCCTTTTCATAAAACCTTCTTGCTCTTGTGTTAAGTCACTACCCGTTGCAGAATGTTCCAGATTTACGATACGTTGTTCTAAACTTTTGATTTGTTCTATTTGCCGGTTCACTATTCCCGTTAAATTATTGATTGCTGTGGTTAGAGCTTCCATTTTATACTCTTATATTTTTTATTTTTAAGCCTTTGAATTTGTAAAAATTTTTTTATTGAACAATAGTTCGATTTTGATTATTCGTATCAACTCTCGTTCTCCAGTAATAGGGTTTCTATGTTTTACGTGTATTGGTGGTATTGCTACCTTTACTTTTTTCGTTTATTAGTTTTCGTTTTAAATTTTAGTAGTCAAATTAATTTTGATTTCTTAATTTATTTAATTCACCGTTATTTATATTAATTTAATTTTAGTTTAATTTTTGGTTAAGTTTTTTTTAATTTAAAAATTTTTTTTTTTTTTTTTTACTTTTATTTAAGTTTTTAATTTTTAATTATTAAGTTTATTTCAATTTTTTATTGGTTTTTATATTTAATTAATTTTTATTTAAATTAGAATTGTTAATCGTTTTTCTTTTAAATTGTTTAATTTTCCTTTTTTTAAAAAAATTTTCTTACTTTAGTATTATGAGGACTATTAAAGCGCGGGTTCGCATGTCCTATTGTTCCCGTGTTACTGAAGGTTACTTCAGGAGTCTCAGATGATTGTGTTGTGCTTTGTTCGCAGGTCGCAGATTTCTACTGGAGGCACCGTATTGTTCCTTTTTGGCTGTTAGTGTTCGAGATTTACTATCGGCCTACTGCGGTACGAGTTACGCTCACTTATGACGGGTTATTTAACCTTGTCTTCACTTGTAGAACCTTATTGTTACGACCTGTCCCTGCTCGGGCGCCAGTTACGAATTTTGTGTCAAAATTCGTTTAAAAAAAATAATTTTATTTCGATTTTAAAATTACTTTTATAATACGTTTTATTTCTTTAAGATTACTTTTACAATACGTTTTATTTCACAACACTAGGTTAAAATTTAATATAACTTTACAATTAAATTTTAAGACTATTCTAAGACTTTAATGCTTAGTTCAATTAATGTCTAAGACTATCTAAGACTAAATTCTTAATCTAAATGTTACCTAATTTATAGTATAAAATTTGCTTATTTAGCAAATTTAATTTTATGTTATTTTCCTAACTAAAAATTTCTCACAGTACAGCGTAGACATGTCGTCAGCACTTTTTGTGGGAACATATTTTTGCGTTAAGAAATTCTCATGCTGAAATATGATGTTTGCTGGAAACGTATTTGAACATGTTTTAATATTAATATTCAGCGTAGAAGAATTCTCACGATGAAATATGTCTGATGAAACATGTTTGAACTTGTTTTAACATGCCCGCTATTTGATCCCTCGTTAACTTACATGTATATTTATTTGAAAATATATTTTATTTGAAGGTATATTTAATCACTTGATTCCTGATCATAACTTTTAATACCTTCAAAAGTGCAGCCTTTAAAGGAAGAGATAAAATCTAAAATTTTATGATCTTTTAAACATTATAAAATTATGTCGGCGACAAAATCGGTGTTCGAATCAAAATATGTATGAATGTGTGAAAATTTTACTTAGTCAAATAAATATTTAAGAATTACAATTATTTATTTTTCTTTTCTAAAAATAAAAAGCTTTAATATTTCACAAAATAGGCATACCCATAATATTTCAAAAATTCTAATAAATTATTAAAATTACATATCTACATACATATGGGTATGTAATTATCGCATAAAAAAAGCTTAAATAAACACCTGCAACAAAAAAAACCTGTTGTTGTTCTTGACATGATTTCCCATTGTTAGACTTAACATAAATAATACATGCATGACATTACATTTATGACTAACATGATATATTTTGTACATATATTACATTAAGCTGAATCATTATTTTCTTTGGCGACTAGTCAATAGAATAATAATATTCTCTATCACAACGCATGAAGTATAAGAATTTATAAACAATACAAGTTGCCGTCTCCTTCGATCTGACAGCCGATCTCAACAAAACTACATTACTAAAAAAAACAATTTAGTAAGAAATATAAATGAGCGCCAAAAGCTTTTCTCTTTTTCTGTTATCAACATAAACAAAGCTGAAAAATCAGTAAATATGCTAAAAATATTATGCACATGTTTAAAATTGATGAAATATTGAAATAAATAACAAATATTTTTTAATGTAATTATGCATAAATTGTTTCTAATTTTTTGGAAGTAAAAAAGGCGAATATGAATTATTTTCGTGAAGTATATAGTGTCATGACGATAAAAATTATAGCAATAATTTATTTACATTTTTATTTCATACAAAATATTATTGGCAACTGTAGTTTTACTGATTAGACATTTTTGCTAATACACAACTACTTATACATTATAATGTATTATTTTCATTGTACTTAACTCACTATTCACAACAAATCACATGAATCGCATTCTTCTGCTAACACAATAATTCTCTCTTCTCTTTCTTATATTATTTTTAATTACTTGCTTGCTTTTTTTTTCATTACTCTCCTAAAACTTTTCTTATCATTCAAAAATTTTCACTTTCCAATTTGTTTCTAATACACATTGTTTTATTCGCAAATGAGCAGCCGTTTCAGCCGTATTAAATAGAATATAACGACAACCGAGTAATATTATTAGCCGCAGCGGCTAAGTAGAGTAAAATATTACTTTGTATTCATAATTATTGTATTATTATTAATTTCTTTCATTTCATTGGTATTACTTGTTGTTTAGTATCAATTGGACTGCTTGCTAATTAAAAATTTATTAATCGCGATCGCCAGTTCATTAAAATTGTTTGTGATAGCAGGATCGGTTTTTTGTTTTATTCTATTTAAAAGTGAATAATAAAAAAAATAAAATAATTATAAAATATGAAATTATAGTAAAAAAATTTTTTTTTTTATTTTATAAAATTTTAATTATCAAAGTATTTTTTGCTTTATCATTACACAGCAGTGTAAATTTTAAGTGGAATGTGAGAAAATATTTAAAATTTTAATGTAATTATTAAAATATGCAGATATTTAATTTTGATGTTTAATTTTAACACCTAAAAATTTATAAATAATAAAAAATATTTTTAAAATTAAGAAATAAAATTTTTAAAAATAAAATCATTCAAATGTTTTTAAAAATTTAAATACTTAAATTAAATACTTTTGTTTGTGTGTTTTAATTTTTAAAATTTTTAATTTTAAACAATTAAATTATGAAAACCTAATAATAAAAACTTTGTTTAATGTTCTTTTTCATATTTATTAAAAACATTTGTTCTCCTTTGTTTGTTTCTTTTGTTTATTTTTATTTAAAATTTCAATAAACGAGTATAAAATGAATTTATAATTGCAAATTCTATGTTTGAAAAATAAGTTTAAATAGCAAATTATTTTCTAAATGCATATTCTAAATTCAAAAAACAAGCAAGAAAAAAATTAAAAAAAATATACTTATTTAAAAAGCACAAGTGTTCTATGGTGTATTTGTATAGCTACATATATGCCACACAACACAACACCATCAACTCTCGCTACGCATTCAGCCAGTCAGTAACCTAAATAGATTTTCGAAGTTTTTGTATAATAGAATAACAATTTTATATATTGCATATATTTTTTTTATTGTTTGATATTTTCTTTCTACATATTATTATATTTTATTATTATCCCACCAATTCAACCTTGAGTTCTTTGTTTTATTATGAATTAACGACCTCTCTGTCTCTCACTTTCTGGTTCGATCATCTGATTAAGAACATTTTTCTTTTCTTTTCTTTTTTAATATTTTAATATTATTTGTTTTTATATTTAATAAATTTATTATTATATAGTTATAATTTTAAATAAAGAAGGAAATCCCTCTATACTTTAATTAATATAAATTTTTTATTTTGGTTTTTGACATGAAAAATATGACAGTTCTATTTTTGTGTTAACAAATCAATTATTCAAAATAATCACTTTTACGCAGAGTGAACGTATACATATAAGTATACATACACATATGTGTGTATTTTAAAGATACCAAAACATTGACTTTCAAATAGAAAATCGATAAAATCAAAATATCAAATTTTTCGGTATGCAATGTTTTTTTCACAAACGAGATCATTTTGTGTTTGTAATAAATAATAATTATGCACATTGAATTATTATTGGAATTGAAATAATTAATAAATTACCAGTTTCTTTGTATATTACAGTATATTTGCTTGTTGGTAATTTAAAGTCCTTGCACATATTACAAAAAATTTAAATAATTTTTATCTAATAGTTAATCTGTATGATATACATATGTATGTATTATTAAATGTCATTCATAAATAAGAGTGAGAGTAATCATTTTAAAATTAAAAGTAAAGAATACTCTCTGTTTCACCAGACGCAACTATGATCTATTGATCTATTTACATATGCATGCGTTATTTCGATTTCCGTATATACATACATAAAAATATCGACTTATTTTGAGAGAATATTATTTATTTAGAATCAATATTATATTTTATTATTTATTTACATTCTCATACGCAATCAACAAACATATGTATTTACATATTGTAATAAAATAAAAATAATAAGAAAAAATAAATTTATCGTACATACTAATTAAATTAACGTTAATCTATTACCGGGCCAGAGTATGTTAATTGACATTATAAGGAAAAAAAAAAGAATTAAAATCATATAAAATTTTTTTATTCATATGCGAATTTTGAAAACGAGTATCCATCCATATGTATACATAGTGAATCAGTTAAAAAGGCAGAGAGTAATCTTTTCAATTCGGGACTTCAATTCAGAAAAGAGAACTTGACGCGTACTTTTATGTATTCACTCACAAAACACTTTTATTTTTTTTTTTAATTGAAAAAATCTTTTCACATATTTTTATCAAAATGTGTTAATTTATTAAAGAATATTAAAACAGACGAATCTTTTGATTTTTCGGTATTTAACCCATCTTATTTTAATTTATTATCATTAGTATTATTGTAAAAAAAGAGTTACCACGTTTTTCTTAACTTGCTTTCGTGATCGTCTGTTTACCCCTGAATTTAGTTCAAATATCGGTTCTCGATAACATTTCAATATTTTAACACTATTGTATTCTAATTATTCTTTATTTATAAGGTCCTCATAGGTGACGTCGGCAATTTCTTCATACCTCTGTAGCTCAGTTGGTAGAGCGTCCACCTAGAAAGCAGTACGTTGCTGGTTCGAGTCTCCAGTTTGAGGAGTAAAATTTTTTAGTTTTTCTGCCTTTAACTCGCACCTTTGATTACGCCATCCAACTGTTCTGCAGTTGTATAACTTCCATTAAGTTAAAATTATTAGTGTAATTAAGCACATTACTTATTAATTTCACAAATGCAATGTTGTATTAATAAATTCATAATATAATTTAATTAACAATTTATCCTCTTAAAATTTTAAAATCTTACATTTACTGGATAATATTCCCATATAAAATTTCACGCTCATATTAATATAACTAAGTGTATATAATGTGATTTTTTATTTTAACACTATATGAACTTTAAAAGTTTTTAAAATTGTTTTTTTAAATAAATTCCAAATTTTTAATGTTTTCGTTCCAGAAATACTATAATACATAAAAAAAATTTTAAAAATAGAAAAATAATAATAATATAAGCTTAAAATAAAATTATACATTGAAAATTTCTTCATTATAGAATTATGCTATAATAATGTTATATGAATAATAATAATAACAACAACAATAATAACACGGAAATAAAATTTATGTGAAATTTTTATGTTAAAAGTTTTTTGATTAAAAATTATATTTTGGTGCTAATTTTTTCCTTTTTTGATTTTTTATTATAATTTTAAACATATGTTTTTTAAAGTAAATTATTAATAAATGAAAAAATCGCTAAATTTATTAGCAAAAACAGTGAGTGTCTATAAATACAGTAATAGAGTTCCAGTAAAAGAACCCATTATGAAAGGTAAAAGCATTATACTATATTATTTTTATGAAATTATTAAAAAACAATAGAAAACTTGTGTACATTATATTTTAAGCAGGGTTAATGCATTCTCTAATACAAAATTCATAAATGAAACATAAAAGCAAGGTGGGTACAAAGTTATCAATGTAGCAACTCAATGTAAACAAATACTTAGTAATCATGTGGATTACAGTATAAAGCAATGTGAAGAACATTTCGTCGCAGATTCTTAATACCTCTGTAACCCAGTTGGTAGAGCGTCCGCCTAGAAAGCGGTAGGTCACTGGTTCGAGTCCAATTCGAGGAGAAAAATTTTTTAATTTTTCTGCTTTTAACTCGTTCCTTTGATTACATCATCCATCTGTTCTGCAGTTGTATGAAGAAATTTCCATTAAGTTAAAATTATTAGTGTAATAAGCCAATTACTTATTAATTTCACAACTACAATGTTGTATTAGTAAATTCATAATACAAAGTTCTATACATATTTAAAAAATTCATTATTACACACGTGATACTAAAATTTTTGTTAACTTAGAATTTCGATAACATTATGTATTAGAATCATGTATTACTCGTTAACTTGAAATTTGCGGTTTTAATTAATATTATAATTCAACGTCAGTGGTTGTGTCGTTATTAAAAAAATTTGTTATCCGGCCTGCAATTGTTCAAATCATGTCCAATTTTTGTATTTCAAATTACATAATTTCCATGCTGAAATTATTCAAGAAGTAAGTCTTAGCAACCTATAATTCATTGAAATTTAATAAGGTTATTGAAACATTCAGCATTTAATTAAAAAAATCAACTATATTGAAAAACTTTATTATATAGGTAGAAGGGAATAACCAATATTTGATGCACATTACTGAATAACCGCATAGCTGTTCAAAACACAAATAATTAATTGTTAAACCTTAAATAGAGAATAGTCTAAAATTATATTATATATGTATATATAAATGTTTATTTATATAATTCTTAATAAACCACAGATTTCGATTAACCACAAAAATGTTCCCTAAATTTTAGTTGTTTTTCTTAACTAAGAAGATTTACCTAATTGAAAATATAAAAAGTTGTGCGGGAAAGTTCATTGTTTTCATAATATAGGTACTGCTTAATAAAATGCTGACAATATTAAATTTTCTTTATATTTTTTAAAAAAATTGTCAAAAAAAAGAAAAGCTTTTTCTTTTTCTTTTTTGACAATTCTTTTTGTTTTTATCAGAAAAATCGGCTGTTTTTGTTTGTTGTCCAGTTTACGCAATTGAATGAATTTGTTTTTAAATATAGGTATGTATATGTACGCATGGATATAGCAATAAAATTTATAAAATTAAAATATTCGTAATAACACGTTTTCATTAAATGATGTGCTGATTAAAGTACAAATTTTGATTCGACTTAAATTCACATATAACATTTTGTATAACACATTGTACATAAAACCGGCTATGTAGTCAAAATATATGAAAATTTTAATAATTTTGTTGTAATATTTTCACAAATTATATTTGGCGAGAGAAATGTTGTTGAAAACTTAAAAGAAATTTTTTTATGAAAATGAAACTGAAAATAAAGTTCATTCATAAGTTTCACTTTTAGGTTATGTGAGGGTTTAAAATAAGATGACGAATTTTCCAAATCACATTAACATTAAATCAATAAATAAATTCAAAAATAATATGTAATAATTATAAGACACTTAGATTAACGATACATTGTTAAAGAACAATTTCAATAATGGCTCTGTTAATGTAAGAGACACTAATTTTACTATTGAAAATTAAGTATATATTTATATAAATATATAATATGTACATATAATACTAAGAATAATATACTTATAGTTTTGTCAAAAATAAATTGGAAACTTTTCACAAACTTTTACATAGTATAGAAAATAGTAAAATATTAATTGGCAAAATTTCAAAATTTATTTAATTTGAAATTAAGCAAAAAACACTTAAGTGTATACAATGCCGAAAAATGTAAACAAAATTCGAAATTTTGTTAAAAATTTTTCAAATTGCTTAAATTGTTCTCAGTTTACATTGTTATTAACAAAATGCAAATTTAAAATTTATTTTTGTTTTATGATTGCAATATACTTAAGTATATTGTATAAAAGACCCAAGTATAATACAAAAGATTAATTAAAAATTTTCAACATTTTTCCGCTTCCTATTTACCAGCAATGTTTCAATGCTTTAAAAAAGCTTTAATTTTCTTTTAAAATTTAGTAAACTTAATCAAACGTTAAAATTAGAGTGAAACTTAGAGAAAAGATACGCTCACCATGCAACTACATTCGAGTATCTACATACTCGAATGAAATTTTTTGCTTGAAAACGCAAAAATCTTAAATTCTACTTAAGATATGAAAATGTGGTGAACTTAACAATTGGTGAACGGATGTTTATTGAATATTTGTCAGTAAAGTTCTTGTGAAAAAACTATACGACGAATAAAGTGCTTACCAAAACATAAATTTCTTTAAAAAACAAATATATTTATATAACGTACACATTATTTTGTGTTAAACTAAGGGAAATTCCATATATTGTCGAATTTTTCTCAGAACCGATAAATTTTAAAAAAATCCTACCACATTAAATATTTGCGTTTATTATCAGAGAACTTACGTATGTCGTAGTGTGCTTTTCGATAACAACTGTACTTGTATATAATTTAAGATTTTAGTATAAAAGTTATTTAACTCGTATAAATTATTTAACTCCTGGTAGTCCCGCTTTAATTCCAATTATATGAGTCACCAATAATATTTAAATAACATCTTGATCTCGAAATGAATAATAAAGTTGAAAAACACTAAAAGCCACTCTGTAACTCACTTTATTAGTTTCGACTAGAGTGACATTTGTACTTAATTATTTTATAGTTGGCTGACACTCTCCTGATTTATTACAATGGTTAATATTAGAAATCTACCATCAAAGAGATTTGTCAGTCAAATTTACCGTAATCTCTGTACATCTTAAAATTTTTCAATTATGGGATTGATTTTTACGTTGTTATGAATATTGTCATGAAAACAAACCTAAAAAGCTTTCCAAAAACTAAGGTCGTTCTTGTACGAATACACTCTATAAACAAATAATGCATTAATCATGCAATAACATTGAATATTCACATTAAAAATTTTGAATTTTTTGTTATACTTACATAATAAAATATTCATGAAATTTAATTTCACATTAAATAAATTTGATTAAAAAAAATTTATATTTACATAATGGGCTGTATACATATTCACATTTTATGCATATTTTTATTTGTATGCTGATAACACGTGAATGAATAAAGAACATTGTATTAAAAAACGTGAATCATATAGCATGTAGGTAAATAACATTATTTTTGTAAAATCAGATTACTGATAATTTATTTAATGTCCTTAAATTATTGTTATAAGAAATATCATTGTGAATATTGAGATTATGAATTTAAATTGACAAAATGGTATAAATTTGTCATACTCGTAAAATATTTGATCAAAATTTGCTATGCTGAAACTGAAGTAAAGAATACTTAATAATTTTTTAAAATATTTCACAATTTATTAATTTAAAATATTTCAAATTATTATTAACTTTTATATTTCAAATATAAAAAATCTTTTTAATTATAATTAAAAATTAATTCAATTTTTAAAATTCAATATAATTCAATTAATTTCTATAAGGTTAACTGATAAACTGAATAAATTCTTAATTAAACAAACAATTTTAATCAAATATTTTTAGTTTTTAAAACATAACTTAATCATAAAATAAAGTTGGGTCAAACCAATGGTTTGTATTGTAGCACTTTTCCCTTCAACAAGTGAAAATTCTGCTTTTAAATACAGTCTATGTATAGCTATCACACTATTAAAATTATTTTCATTCATATACAAAACTATTTCTAGGATTGCATATATTTAGGATGACGCATATATGCAGTCTTTGAAATAAAGCAAAGATTAATATAAAAAGGGGTTAACATAACGCTCGATTTTAAGGGTTAATTGTGTGAGTTAAGAAAAATAATTATATTTTTTAATTTCATTGAATTTACCGTTAGCTTTTTGCGTTTATAAAAATTTGGAAAAGCTTGCGGTTTCGGAAATATAAGGTGTCAAAAATTCAAATTTTACGAATTTCAAGAGGTGATAACTTGAGAGGGGGTGGAGATGGAAAAAAATTTTCTTCTAACAAAATGAACTATTTATTAATATCTAAAAGCTCCTAAAATTTCAAGCTTCTACAGTCTGGGGTCTAGAAGAAAAACCACATCAAAAATTTGGAAAAAAAGGACTTTAAATAACGGTAAATTAGAACGGCCATTTTGTTTTTCTTAAATTGAACTATAGTATACCGCGCAAGGGGAAGCAAGCCACTGCCTTTCTGCCTTTGCAAAATTTCAAAAATGCTTATGGTTTCATTGCAACAAATATTTAAAAAAGGCCATTTTTAGGGATTTGGGGGGGTATAACTTCTAGAGGGGGGGAGATAGGTAAAAATTTTGTTCTACGGAAATAAGTTTCTAGTGAAGATCTATGTACGTATTAAATTTCAGCTTTCTATCTTCAAAGGTGTAGAAGTTTTGTAAACAGACACACGGACGGACGGACGGACGGACGGACGGACGGACGGACGGACGGACGGACGGACGGACGGACAGAGTGAAACTAATAAGCACTTTTTTCAAAAATTTTTTTGGAAAAGTGCTAAAAATTATATAATTTGTTTTCCATATTAAATTTATGATTTGATATAATGAATAAATAAACTTATTCCTACAATATTATTATTTCAATATAATAATTAATAATAATAATTATCAATAATAGAAAATTTTCAATGATTTCTTAAAATTATATGGGTATGTGACACCAAATAGCATATCGTGTCTTCGTAATAACAAATAATTAATATCTTATCACTTTATATTATACCTTTTACACGATAATTTAAAATAGCATACAA